TCAGCCTCCTGCACCATGCGGGGGGGGGGATTTTTGCCCTCCCCAGACTCTGGAGGCTTTCCTCAAGCCTCTGGGAGGGCGAGAACGGCCTCCCCAGGCTCCGGAGGCCCTCTGGAGGCTGGAAACGGGCCAGTTTCCAGCCTTTTCGAACTTCTGATAGGCCTATTTTTCGCCCTCCCTGAGACTCCGTGTGCGCCCTGCATTTACCTGCATTCAAAACGGGCCACGTGGGGACTCCTGGGAGGAGAGGGGAGGGGTGGGCGTGGCCAGCCAGGAGTGGGATTTGGGAGTTCTCCAAACTGCACAGAACCTTAGCTAGAGGTTCTCCCGAACCCCCGTCGTCTGTGGGGTTCTTTTGACAGGGAAGATTTAAAAGAAAGCCAAGCCAATTTTTTTTTTTTTAAATTTGATTTATATGCCGCCCTTCTCCGGAGACTCAGGGCGGCTTACAATGCGTTAAGCAATAGCCTTCATCCTTTTGTATATTTATACAAAGTCAGCTTATTGCCCCCACAAACTGGGTCCTCATTTTACCCACCTTAGAAAGGATGGAAGGCTGAGTCAACCTTGAGCCTTGGCGAGATTCGAACTTACAGTAATTGCAGACAGCTGGTGTTAATCACAATGCTTTTTAGTCTGCTGAGCCACCAGGCCCTTCCCTCCCCTTCCAATATCGAATGAGATGCTAAGGTCGTGGAAAAGAATGAGATTGTTAGATTGTGCATCCGTGTGTGTGTGTGTTTTGTAGCAGAAAATAAGTCCAAGTTACAGTAGAAGTGGTCCTCGATTTATGACCACAATTGAGCCCAGAATTTATGTTGCTAAGTGAAAAAAATGTTTCACCGAAACTATTTTTCTCTGGACTAAAGACACACACACACACATGAAGTTTTGACACACAAAGGAGATTGAATCTCGAACCCTTGTCCTTCTGCACACATTGGTATAAAACACAGCACTCTTTTTTTAGATGGCCAAGGTGTCCCAACTATTCATCCTTCGGTGGGACAAAGCTTCTAAGAAGAAGTAATCCTGGCTTGCAGACGTGAATGTGAATGTCTGTGGGAAAAGGAGATTGTGGTTGTGTACTTCTGGGTGCAGCACTGACACAGCTTTACATGGATTAACATTGGAGATTCCGACTCCTCCTCAAAATCCCAAACATGTAATGTTTGGTTAAACATTCAATCGCCAGAGCTTAACGTGTTGGAAGACCTCATCATTCCTTGGGTGAATGATGGTGGTTGGGTACATTGCGCAATCTCAGGAAATGAGTTAACTCAGTTACGGAGACCAGGGGAGCCTGTATTTGTGTGGGCAGCTGACTCAGCGAAGAGGAAGTCTCCCAAGCAAGGTTCTTTACGACATTTTCCTTAAGATTTCCCAAGGTGGAAGGGTTACGCTTTCGCAGAAATGTTACCCACGGAGCTCATTCCAACTTAGAAATTCATCCCTGGATATATTTTGAGGGGAGACCTCCTTCGTTCCTTTGCCACCACTGTCTGGGAACCAGTGAGCAAGCTGTTCTTTTTTTTTTTATTAATAGCAGAGAAAACTTTGCAAATAAATGTTCATTTTAAAAAAACATCTCCAGAAACCTGACAAGGCTGTGAACTCAACAATTACAATAATTGTGGGGTCCTTGGTGCTCTTTGGATTTGGTGGTTCTCTCGCAGACGTTTCGTGATCCGACTAGCTAAGAGCCTTGGTGGCGCAGCAGACTAAAGTGCTGTTAACTAGCACCAGCTGCCTGCAGTTACTGCAAGTTCGAATCTCACCAGGCTCAAGGTTGACTCAGCCTTCCATCCTTTCGAGGTAGGTAAAATGAGGACCCGGATTGTGGGGGCAATAAACTGACTTTGTATAAAAAAAGAACACCGCTTGGGGGGGGAGGCGAAAGCCCTACTAAGCAGGTATATACAAAAGTATGAAGGCTATTGCTTAACGCATTGTAAGCCGCCCTGAGTCTCTGGCATATAAATCGAACCAATAAAATAAATAAATAAATCATCAGTGCATTGCATCGAGTTACTCAGTGCATTGATAATGTTACCTGGTTGGATCAGGTTGGATCAACGAAACTCAGAGAGTACTTAGGACCCCACAGTCCTCCTCCTTCTCTTCCTCCTCCTCACTGGAAACCCCACTCCTTTCTTGCACTGATGATATTACCTAGTTGGGTTATGAAACTTGTGCAAGAAAACACCCACTTTCAGAGAGCACCAAGGACTCCACAGTCTTCCTCTTCCTCTTTCTTTTCCTCCTCCTCTTTCTCCTCCTCCTCCCCAAACCCCATTCCCTTCTAGCACTGATGGTGTTATCTAGTTGGGTGTTGTGGCTCCGTTACCTGAGCCTGTGTCATCGGCAGGGGAGGACTCCGAGAGTGAAGGAGAGGAGTTGGCAAGGCCTCCCTCTCCAGGACCCTCCTCTCTGGCAATGCCTTCGGTGTCTGCCGAAGGGCAAGAGATAGGGCCGGGGCCAAGCACGTCCACGCAGCCACAGATGGACAGTGATGAGGGTAATGAGTCTTGGCTGGATCCACGCCAGCGTTGCAGAGATAAGCGCGCGCAACAGAAGAAAAGACATGCCCGAGATTAGGCTGAGTCACTGGACCACACCCCACAGGATATAAAAGGGAGCGTGGTGGCCAGTCAAACCTTGTGACGAACAAAGCTGAAAGCTTCCACGCCATTCTGCATTGCCAGACTTTTTGCTATAGACTTTGCTGGATTATCTCTGGACTTGATTGACTCCGTAATTATTGAGCTGTTTCTTTTGATGTACCAGGAGTGGGGAGAAGTTATCTCTCCTCTTTGTAAATAATAAACTCTTGGCAGGCAGCCACTAGGTTGTTGCCAAGCTCCGTTATCATAAGGAAAAGGATTTTGTCGGCTGGTTTGGTCTTTAACTTTTGAACGTCTGTTGGTGTGTGTGCGTGTGGTTGGGGACAGAACAGGAGATGTCTGCAAGAAAACCACCAAGCTCACAGACCATCAAGCAACCCCACGCTTCAACCCCAGGCTACAACTATTCTCTTCTACCAATTACACTAACATCTAATGTTTCCATCACCACTCACATGAGTTTTCCTTCAAATCTGGCTTCCCTACCATTGTAGGTCAGAAAGTTATTGTGTGAGTATAGGCCTGTCCCTTCACATAAAGCTAGCTAATCGATGCACTGCAGTGGTGAAAGAGGTTGTTAAAAAAATGCTTTTAAAGCCTCTGAGGATCCCAGCTGACTTGCCTGATCGGTAGAGGCTTTTTTTTTCCTTTTAAAAACATTTTTTCTATAACCTTTTCGGTCGAAGAGGTTGTAGAAAAAATGCTTTTAAAGTCTCTGATGATCCCCGCTGAGCCACAAGATCATCAGAGGCTTCTTCTTTTTTTTTTTTTTACTTTTAAAAGCATTTTTTCGGCCAAAGAGGTTGTAGAAAAAATGCTTTTAAAAATAAAAAAAAGCCTCTGTTGATTGTGTGGCTCAGCTGGGTAATTGGGGGGGGGGCAGGGATTTTTTGCTACCGGTTCTCCGAACCACCCGCCGCCATCGCTACCGGATCAGGTGATCCGGTCCGAACCGGGAGCATTTCACCCCTGAGGCACTGAGATTCTATCGCTGTGAACATAAATGCCTCTTTTAAAAAAAAACAAAAGATCATACAACAGATTTTGTGACGGTTGTATACATCGAAGCTGATTTTAAGTCATGGTCAAATTCAACAAAATCCGACGATATCGATGTTTGTCCTAATCCTACTTACTTTGGTTATCCTTGAGGCTGTGTGCCTGCCTGCCGCCAGGAAAAACTTACACGCCTTCCATCTTCTGACTTTAAAATATTTTGCTTTGCTCTCTCTTTTTTCTTTTTTTTCTTTTCCTCTGGTTGGTTTGTTTTCCAAGTACACCCTGGCCCTCTCCTGCTTCCATGCCAATGTGTGTGGCTTCATAAAAAGCCTGCACGCTAAAAATCACGTGTTTTCTCACAATTTCCCCATCGTGTAAGCAAATTTTCCTGAATGCATTCCTTGTTGTCTGCTGTTTTCCTAAACGGAGAAATGTTATACACAAAGCAGCCCTAGGAGTGGATAATTGTTCAAAAAGTCAGAGTGAAATTCAGCAGGAGTGAGAACCAAAGGCAAATTCCATTGTGGGTTGCATATTTGATGGGAAAGGATGAATTAAGACAGCACGTATTGAAAATATAAATTACCACATTTTTTGGAGTATAAGACGCTCCGGACTATAAGATGCACCTACCTTTTTTTGGGGAGGAAAAAAAAAAATCTGCCTCTGCCTCCCAAAAATTTGCCTCCTTGCAGCAAACAGCAAACAGCCTGCTTTACTTTCAGTTTCATTTTCAGCACAGCCTGATTAGCACAAGAAAAAAAAACTGCCTCCAGCAATTTGCCTCCTTGCAGCAAACAGCGGAGGCCTACGCAGCAATAGGCAATGGCAATCCCTGCAGCCTGAAACAGCTGAGGGTCAGGAGGCCGATCCAACCGATAATCAGCTGCTTGTGCTAATCAGGTTGTGCTGAAGCTGAAACAGGCTGTTGGCTGTTTGCTGCAAGGAGGTAAATTGCTGGGAGGCAGAGGCCAATGGGTGGGGGCCAGTTGGTGGGCAGGACTACGTTCAGTGTATAAGACACACCCAAATTTTCACCCTCTTTTGGGGGAGGGGGAGTGCATCTTATACTCTGAAAAATACGGTAAATCTTTTTTCCCCCTTTTCTCTGCCTCTCTAACACAGTTTCTGGTTGGGGTCAGCTGGATGACCCTCTGATTTCTGCACCCCAACCGGGAGGTGATAATAGGGAGCAAAAGGATCCCCAAAATTAATGTGGCAAGGCTACGTTTTGTACAGTTGTTGTAGTTGTTTTTTTAAAATATCTGCGTAAATACAAGTTGCACCCATTTTTAGGGATGGGTATAAATCAGGGATCCCCTTTTTGCCGTTTTATGTCATCCGAGCGTTTGTTTTTCTCTTTCTCGTCCTTTGTAGGCAAACGAGGGAGCAGGAAACCCCTCCTGACTTTTTTTATTTTTCCGACTACGAGAGACACAATGCTGAGATTGCAGCATTTCACCTGGACAGGTAAATGAGGGGAGGGGGAGAGGAATAAAATGGGAAGGCGGGGGAGTGAGCTGAATGCGATGTTTGGACACCCTAACAGTTTAGTCCGTTTTTCAGTATTTTACAACAGGACTGTGTAGGAGGTCATTCTGTTGTTGTTGTTGTTGTTGTTGTTTCTTCTTCTTCTCCTTCTCCTCCTCCTCCTCCTCCTTTTCCTTCCCCAATCTTTCTTCTTCTTCTTCTTCTTCTTCTTCTTCTTCTTCTTCTTCTTCTTCTTCTTCTTCTTCTTCTTCCCTCCTCCTCCTCCTTCTCCTTCCCCAAACTTTCTTCTTCTCCTCCTCCTCCTCCTTCTCCTTCCCCAATCTTTGTTCTTCTTCTTCCTCCTCTTTCTCTTTCTCTTTCTCTTCCTTTTCCTCTTCCTCTTCTTCTTCTTCTTCTCCTCCTCCACCTCTTTCATCTTCATCTTCTTCCTACTCCTATTCCTACTCCTCCACCATAAGAGATCACATGGAAGTCCACAGTGAAGTAGAATTGATGATGATTTCTGATATGCCTTCAAAGGTGGACAGTTCCATAAAGTAAATATTAGCACTGGAAAGATCTACTTTTGGCAAACAGTCCCTTAGACAATTGCCTGTCTACAGCACTAAAGAGAGGAGCTTCTCCCAAAGTCTGAAAGACTGAATTGGTACATCCTAGGAGAGGTTCTCAACAGACCATTTCTCAAGTGCTTTAAGTCCCTGTGAGTTTCAAATCTCAGTTAAGTCCCAACAAGCAGAATGCACAAGCCAGGTTTTAATCTTAACTAATCCAACCCCTCTTTTTTTTTTTTTTTGCATTATTTTTTGACACATAATTATGAGGTCTAACTGACTAACCCATTACGATATTTATAGCCCATCCTGCAGAAGATTTTTGTTTTTGTGGGATTTACCAGATTGAAACCATCTCTTCCTGTTTTCCTTCCAGGATCCTGGATTTCCGTCGCGTCCCACCAGTTGCAGGCAGACTGGTTAATATGACCAGAGAAATAAGGGACGTCACTCGTGACAAAAAACTATGGAGGACATTTTTTATCTCACCAGGTATGGGAAGACTTAGTTGACCTCCTGGGCATCAAAATAGGTTCCAGGTGACAGGCGGCAATTAAAACGAGGACCATGAACTTTCGCACATAACAGCATTCAGGTCCACCAAAAAGGTTTGTGGCCATCGTGTTCTTTCATTGGTCAGCCTGGTGACTCAGCCTCTCAGATTCGCTCAGCAAAATGGAGGATTAATGTCCATCCAGAGGGAAGCCAGGGATCTAGTAGTGTGCAGGATCCAGTAGGTAATTTTTTTTGGCTTCCCACTGGATCTTGCCCAGAGGTAGGATTCACTTACCTTCCCTACCAGTTCGCAAATGTGAGCACATGTGCAGTAGTCGTGCATTACATCCGGGTGGGTGGGCGGAGCTTCCCACAGTCACCGCTACCGGTTCGCACAATCCGGACAGAACTGGCTGAATCCTGCCACTGATCCTGCCTTTCCTGTTTCTTCGCTTCTGCTTTGTTATCGCTTTCTGGTTCCATCTGAATTGCCGCTACTGAAAAGGCAGCGGTTCGTACTCAGGTTGTGTTCATCAGTTTGGGGGTTTGGCAAGGAGACACCCCCCCCCACCTTTGACTTCCATTATTAATGGCAACAGCAGCAACCCCAGAAATTAAACCGAGAAGATGATGATGGTGCCGGTGTAAACATTTGAACCAAATCCCAATTTACGGCTAGGCAAAAGGCTTGATTGGCTGCCTCTTGTGAGCCAAAAGGAGATGCGTTGTGTGGGCAAGACCTGAATTATATCAGCTTCTGGAGAGGATGGGGATCTTAGACACCAGCGTGGCATTTCATGCCTCTGGAAACCCACACTTGCTTTGGTGACGCTCTGTCTTGAAAACCATTCCAGGTAGACCTGGGAGTGCAAGTGAGGGTCTCCCAAAAGGCTGGGATCTTTTGCTCTGTTTTAGTAAGCAAGGTTGCTGCTTGGTTGACACTGCTGGGATCAAATCTCTCGGGATTAGATTCAGGAGACCTAGCTGAAAAATTCTCACCGTAAAGGCAGGAATTGGGGAAGCCTCCACCGAACTCTTGTTCCTCGTCAAAACAAGAAAAAGTCCACTGGTAAATGGGCTTTTAAAATGGGTTTAAATTTTTAAAGGGGGAAGGGAGGGAGGGAGGGAGAGAGGGAGGGAAGGAAGGAAGAGAGGGAGAGAGGGAGGAAGGAGGCATGGGAGAGCAGAGAGGGAGAAGAAAAAGGGAGGGAAGAGAGAGATGATAGATAGGAAGGAAGGAAGGAAGGAAGGAAGGAAGGAAGGAAGGAAGGAAGGAAGGAAGGAAAAGAGGGAGAGAGTTAGGGTGGGAAGGAAAGAAGAGAGGGAGGGAGGGAGGGAGGGAAGAAGAGGGAGGGAGGAAAGGAGGAGAGAGGGAGGGAAGGAAGGAAGAGAGGGAGGGATGGAAGAAGGGAGGAAGGAAGGAAGGAAAAGAGAGAGAGAAGGGAAGGGAGGGAGGGAGGGAGGAAAAGAGGAGGGAGGAAAGAAAAGAGGGAGGGGGAGGGAGGAAAAGAGGGAGAGGAAGGGAGGAAGGAAGGAAGGAAAAGAGGGAAAGGGAGGGAGGGAAGGAAGGAAGAAGAGGGGAAGAAGGGGGGAGGGAGGGAGGAAAAGAGGGAGGGAGGAAAGAAAAGAGGGAGGGAGAGGAAGGAAAAGAGGGAGAGAGGAAGGGAGGAAGGAAGGAAGGAAAAGAGGGAGAGAGGGAGGGAAGAAGGAAGGGAGGGAGGGAGGAAAAGAGGGAGAGAGTGAAGGACGGAAAGGAGGAGGGGGGAAGGGAGGGAGGGAGGAAAACCTTGCACCCAAAGTGGAGTGAATAGAAATAGCTCAGTCATTCCTTAAATGCCTTTCTACACCTTGCTAGCCTTAAAGAATGGCATGGAGGAATGATTTGTTAGCACTCCGGTGGGAGAGAAACTTTAATAACTCCGGCTGTAATTTTCGAAATAATCATTTGCCAAAATCAATGCGAGTTCTGGGGACTTTTGTTCCCCTTGACCAATCACAGAGGTTTATCGATTTCCACCCCTGTCGTTCCTCCCCAGCCCCCACCTTTTGGGAAATTGACAATAGCAGCTTTGCTTCACTTACTTGCAAGAAGAAAAGGGAGATTAGAATCTTTTCAACAATTTTTTTTTTTTAAAGAATGTGCTCAGGATTATTTACATCCCCCAGGTTGGGAAAGAAAGAATAGTGGCAAACTGTTAAATTGTCCTTATGGCAAAGAGAGGGAAATGGTTGTTTCAAAAGTTATGGGGAACTCAAGTCAGACAAACAGGTAGTTCTCAATTTACGACCGCCATCGAGACCATCGTTTAATCTTGCTAAGCGATTGTGAAGAGAGTCACATTCAATGTTACGATATTTTTTGGCACGGTGGTTAAGCGAGTCATGCAGCCGTTAAGTGAATCCAAGTCGCCCCCCCCCCCCCCCCGTTGACTTTGCTTGTCGGAAGCTGGATGGGAAGGTTACAAATGGCAATCACGTACCCCCGGGACAGTATTCATCATCTTCTTTTAACGGCCCCATAATCCCTGGTGGGGTGGAGTCTGGGCAACTGAATGGAGCTAGCCGAGTGTTTACTGGCCGGATGCCTTTCTTGTTGCCGATGTGGAGTTTTGTTCACATATATTTCTCATTGTGCCCAGAGAGAGAAATATCTGTCTCTACCTAGGATCGAACTCACAGTGTCCTGATTGTGAGGCGAGAAGTCCACCTCTAGGCCACCGCACCACTCTCAGAAATGATCAGGATTTGAGGGGTATAAAACTGTTTGTATTTAATACTAACTACTTGGAACTGGGTCACAACAGCAGCGGAAATTTTGAGTAGTTTGGAGAACCAGCAAATACCACCTCTGGCTGGTCCCAGAGTGGGGTGGGAATGGAGATTTTGCAGTATCCTTCCCCTGCCATGCCCGCCAAGCCACACCCACAGAACCGGTAGTAGAAAAATTTGGATTTCACCACTGAGTTATACAGTAAATGGAACCATCTTTGGCGATTAAGGAATGCCAGCGTGCAGGAGCTTAAATAATGTAAGTTGGTTCACAACTCACCCTCGTTCACAGATTCCTCGCTGCTGGCAAGAGTTTTCTCACCATCCGGTGCCAGCTTGAAAAACGGAGTCAGTTCACACTTGCTTGTTTGAGTCAGCAACTGTTGAAGAAGCTGATTTGGGCAACAACAAAAAAAAAGGTGAAATCCAACAATCAACGTAGGTGTCTCAGCCAATTCTCAGCAAGTCACAGAATCATCCCCCTCGAGCCCTGAAAAATGACCTTGACAATGTGATGATCGGAAGGTGGTTTTCATTTTTTAAATAATCGGACGAGAAGCTCTTATTTATAGAAATCGAAAGATATTTCTGCGACCTGTGCAACTGTTTCAGAGGTTCTCCTTGTTCTACTCGTCCCCGACCCACTTCTTTTGAGGGAGTTTAGTTCCCTTAAGGCAGTGATGGCTAATCTTTTTGCCATCGCATGCCAGGAGCGGGGAGGGGTGTCATGTCCATGCGTGCCCACACTCATAATTCTATGCGCCCCACCCCTGTGCATGCATGCGCGACCTCCCCACACACACACTCCCCCTGCTCCTGGCCCGCGATGGCTTGGTAGGCCTGTTTTTCTCTCTCACCATGCTCCAGAGCCTTTCTAGGAGTCTGGGGAGGGCAAAAACAGCCTTCCCCACCCCCACCCCCAGAGGCCCTCCATAGCCTGGAAACAGCCCATTTGCCAGCTTCCGGTGGGACCAGCTGATTTTCGGGCCTTCTGGGCCCACCAGAAGTTGGCAAACGGGCTGTTTTTGGCCTCCGAAGGGCCTCTGGGGGAGTGGGGAAGGCCGTTTTCGCCCTCCCCAGACTCCTAGAAAGGCTCTAGAGCCTGGGGGCAGCAAAAAAACGGGCCTTCTCCACCGCTCTCCGAGGCCCTCCGAAGGCAGGAAACAGCCTGTTTCCTACTTCTGGTGTGCCCAGAAGGCCCAAAAATCAGCTGGTCAGTGCACAACTGCACACCGGAGCTGAGTTCGCGTATCCACTGATATGGCTACGCGTGCCACCTGTGGCACGCGTGCCACCGGTTCACCATCACTGCCTTGAGGGGTCTCTGATTCCAGTTTCTGATTCTAGAAGAGGTTGGTTATGGGGTCCTTGGTGCTTTCTGAGCTTTGTTGTTTTCTTGCAAGTGTTTCATTACCGAACTCGGTAACATCATTAGAGTAGAAGAGAGGTGGGATTGCTCTCCTAATAAACCAAGCCAAGTTCAAAAACATTAGAGAATTCCTGGAAGTCTGGCATTCAGGCAAATCAGCCATCAACAGGCACATAGAGATAAGTGACATTTACATACCATTTGAAAGAGACAATAAAAAAGACTAGAAGGAAACAAAAAGACCCAAAACACCTCCTCTTCAGCAATCAACACCCAAATAACAAGGGATTAACACCACACTAGACCCACAATCAAGAAGTAAATGGAACCCCAATCAAGGAACTACCAACATAGACAAAAACTATAAACAACAGCCTAATTAAGGAACCACCAAGAATAAAACACTCACATCAACCCAACTCCTTTCTAGCGCTGATGATGCTACCTAATTGGGTCATGAAACATCTATAAAAATCAACCAAACTCAGGGAGCATCATGGACCCCACAGTTCTCCTCCTCTTCCTCTATTCCACAAACCCAATTCTCTTCTAGCACTGATGAGGTTACTACCGGTAGTTGGGTCATGAATCATCCACAAGAAAACATCCAACCTCAGAGAACACCAAGAACTTCACAATCCTCCTCCTCCTCCTCCTCCTCCTCCTCCTCCTCCTCCTCCTCCTCCTCCTCCTCCTTCTCTTCTTCCTCCTCCTCTCCTTCACCTTCTAGCTCTGATGATGTTATGTAGTTTGGTCATGAATCATCCACAAGAAAACATCCAACCTCAGAGAGCACCAAGGACCTCACAGTCCTCCTCCTCCTCCTCCTCTTCCTTCCCCCATTCCCTTTTAGCCCTGAGGATGTTACCTAGCTGGGTCATGAAGCACCCATAAAAACCAACCCAACTCAAAGAGTACCCGGGACCCCACAGTTCAACCTTGAGCCACAGATATTCTCTTCCACCCATGTCGGTTGTCCCACCATGTTTCTCCTTCTTTCTGCAGCCAACAACATCTGCTTCTACGGAGAATGCTCCTACTACTGTTCGACGGAGCATGCCCTTTGTGGCAAACCGGACCAGATTGAAGGTTCCATGGCGGCCTTCTTGCCCGACTTGTCTTTAGCCAAACGGAAAACCTGGAGGAACCCGTGGCGACGTTCCTACCATAAACGCAAGAAAGCCGAGTAAGTGTTATGGTTAAGAGCCAGCCCGCTGCTTCTGCTGCAACCCCCATGCCTCAAGCTGTCAGTTCTCCATTGTTGCCTAGCCAGACTTTAATTCCACCACCGCTGAGCAGAACGAAGCCATCTGTCTGCCAAACGCAGAAGAGACACAGTAGGAAGACAAAAGAGCAGAGGTTGGGCTGAGCCATGTTGGCTTTATCGGGATGGCCCCCCACGTCTTCGTTTAACCCAGATGGTTTGGCTGTCGGGATTTTGTTCTAAAATCTAAAAACCAAAACGTCACAACCTCCATGCAGCTGGACTAATACTTTAGCACCTAGTTAAACTAGAATCCAACTTATTTTGCAGGTAGGGGAGAAATAATATTTTCCCCCGCATTTTTTTCTCCTGGCTCCGTCTCCGTAGTCATTTGGCATGACTCAATGCCAAAGGTGCACAGAATGCTGTTCCCTTCCCACCTAAGGTGGTCCCTATTTTTCTACTCGCATTTTTTATGTGCTTTCAAACTGCTAGGTTGGCAGAAGCTGGGACAAGTCACGGGAGCTCACCCCGTTACGCAACAGTAGGGATTCGAACCGCTGAACTGCCGACCTTTCGATCAACAAGCTCAGCGTCTTAGCCACTGAGCTACCACGCCTGCTATCCTGTTTCCCCCAAAATAAGACATCCCCTGATAATAAGCCCAATCGGGCTTTTGAGCACATGGCAATAAGGCCAAGTGCTTATTTCAGGGTTCAAAAAAATATAAGACAGGGTCTTATTTTCGGGGAAACACGGTATATCTTTAACATATAAATGTGCATATTTCCTCTGTTAAACTCACACCCACCCGCTCAATCCTTGCAGATATCAAAAGGAGGAGCATTGTCGGTGGCTAAGCTTCCCAATCTGTATTATTTCTTCTCATCCAGGTGGGAAGTTGATCCAGAATATTGCGAAGAGGTTAAGCAAACGCCACCGTACGACCGGGGAACCAGGATCTTGGATATAATGGACATGACCATATTTGATTTTCTGATGGGTATGTTTGCCGCCTTCTGAAATGGAGTAGCACTCTTAGAATTTGGGCAGTTTTAGTGGTAGAACATGTATAATTTGTAGATTTTTATTTATTTTTTTGCTGCTAGTTGTTGTTTTGGCTTATTTGGAAGGGACACAACATTAATGACTTTCTTGGCGAATAGCAGAATATCAGTTGGAAGGGACCTTGGAGGTCTTATAATCCAACTCCCTGCTCCAAGGAGGAGACCCTACACCCATGATGGTGAACCTTTTCAGCATCGAATGCCCAAACTGGAATGTACATGTATGTGCATGCATGTTCCAGAGCACTGGAAATCCAAAGACCAGTTGGCCGGTGCATGCATGTGTTTTTTTGGCTGGTTTTTTTGGCTGTTTTCAGGTCATTTTTCGGGCCATTTTCAGGTTGTTTTTTGGGCTGTTTTTGGCCCAAGAATGGCCTGAAAACATCTTGAAAACGGCCTGAAAAACAGCCTGAAAATGGCCTGAAAATGGCCTAAAAAACACCCCAGAAAATGGCCTGGAGAATGACCTGAAAAATGGCCTGAAAAGGGCCCAGAAAACAGCCAGAAAAACAGCCTGAAAATGGCCCCAAAAACAGCCCAAAAAAGGCCTGAAAATGGCCCAAAAACAGCCTGAAAAATGGCCTGAAAAGGGCCCAAAAACAGCCTGAAAAACAGCCAGAAAATGGCCCAAAACATGGCCCAAAAAAGGCCTGAAAACGGCCCAGAAAACAGCCTGAAAAATGGCCTGTTTTTTGGGCCATTTTCCAGCACCCGGTGCCCACACCGGAAACCAGAAAAGCAGCTGGCAACAGCGCACATGCCCACAGAGCGAGCTCTGTGTGCCACCTCTGCCACGCGTGCCATAGGTTCACCATCACGGGCCTTACACCATTCGAGACCAATGGGTGTCCAATCTCTTCTTAAAAACCTCCGGTATTGGAGCAGCCACAACTTCTGAAGTTCTTCTGTCAGGAAATTTCTAGGTTGATTTTGATCATGGGATGAAGGACCATAAGGCAATCCTGTTTCCTCTTGAAAGGCATTGGACAGCCAGAATGGTGTAGGGTCTCCTCCTTGAGCAGGGGGTTGGATTACTAGAAGACCTCCAGGTTCTCTTTCAAACCTATTTGTCAGCATTCTGATGCTGCCATAAAAAGGAGGAGACGAGGCTTGACTTTTCACCTACTTATTTTCTCTGTAGATAATATCCCCTAGGAGATGGGATGGGAGGGGGGCATTCCTGTGGGCTGAGTTCAGAAGGTGGGGAGACTGACTTGGAAGATGGCCAATGAGAAGATGAGAATTGGGGAAGGGAAAGGGAAGGGTTTGGGGGTCAGAGGGTTAGTATCGGCTACGATGAAGTCGGGGCCAGATCTGTCGTACTCAATAAATGGAATATTTCAGCAAAGATTAATTGTTTGGGAGTGCAATTTATTTGAGATGACATCAAAACCTGACACTATTATTCCATGTTCTGAGTTCGTCTGCTGTTAATTTGCTTAAGATCTCCAACATGACGTTCTGCTAAACATTTTGCCTTTTTTTTAATTTTGCCTCCTCTTTTACAGGTAATATGGATCGACACCATTATGAGACTTTTGAGAAGTTTGGAAATAATACTTTTATTATCCACTTAGACAATGGAAGAGGGTAATTATGGGAGAGGAAGGGTGGGGTCGGTTGATCATACTTAAATCTTCCCTGTTTATTCTGGCTTATTCTTCACCGCTTTTCTTTTGACTGAAAAAAAGACGTAAATATGCCCATTAGGTCACTTTACCAGACTAGTAGTTTTTCTAGCTCAGAGATCGGCAATCTATACAGGTCGTCCTCATTTAGTGACCACAGTTGGGGCTGACAACTCGGTCGTTAAGCAAAACAATTGCCAAATGAAACCATGAAAAGTAAGGTTCTGCATTTAGGCAAGAAAAACCAAATGCACAGGTACAGTATAGGTGGTACCTAACTCAATAGTAGTAACTGTGAGAGGGATCTTGGAGTCCTAGTGGACAACCATTTAAATAGGAGCCAGCCGTGTGCAGCAGCTGCCAAAAAAGCCAACACAGTTCTGGGCTGCATAAACAGAGGGATAGAATCAAGATCAGGTGAAGTGTTAGTACCACTTTATAAGGCCTTGGTAAGGCCACACTTGGAATACGGCATCCAGTTTTGGTCGCCACGATGTAAAAAAGATGTTGAGACTCTAGAACGAGTGCAGAGAAGAGCAACCAAGATGATTAGGGGACTGGAGGCTAAAACATATGAAGAACGGTTGCAGGAACTGGGTATGTCTAGTTTAATGAAGAGAAGGACTAGGGGAGACATGATAGCAGTGTTCCAATATCTCAGGGGCTGCCACAAAGAAGAGGGAGTCAAGCTATTCTCCAAAGCACCTGAAGGCAGGAGAAGAAGCAATGAGTGGAAACTAATCAAGGAGAGAAGCAACTTAGAACTAAGGAGAAATTTCCTGACAGTGAGAACAATTAATCAGTGGAACGGCTTCCCTCCAGAAGTTGTGGATGCTCCAACACTGGAAGTTTTAAAGAAGAGATTGGATAACCATCTGTCTGAAAGGGCATAGGATTTCCTGCCTAAGCAGGGGGTTGGACTAGAAGACCTCCAAGGTCCCTTCCAACTCTGTTATTCTATTCTATGACTGTGCTTATGATCACAGTTCGACTTTCCGTTGCTTTACAGACCTGTGAAGGTTGTCAAGAAAAAAAATAATATTTTCTTTGAAGACTTGTGGTGAGGCTCAGGAGGCCTGCCCACGTTTCCTGCAAAACATCTCTTTGGCTCCAGACCTGAAGTTCGGCCCATGGCTAAAAATCATGGCATTAAAGAGTGCATTCAGTTTCTGCCCTGACTTTTCGCCAAGAATTTGAGGCAGAAAGTGTATTTCTAGTGAATGCTTCTTGTGTTCTTCTTTCCTGCAGGTTTGGGAAATATTCTCACGATGAACTGTCTATCTTGGTGCCTTTAAATCAGTGTTGCCGGTATGTTTGGCATTTATTTATTTTCTTTTTCTTCTTCTTCTTCTCTTCATTGGGGATCAATTTAGGGAGGATTTTGGAGGCTGTAAACACAAGAGTCCTTGATTTAAGATCACAACCATTTGTGTTATAAGGGCATCGAATGACTGGTGGTTACAATCAGTCCTTAAAGTTCAGGATGTCTAAACACCCCTGCAATCAGTGATTGAGAGATGATAGATAGGAGAGAGAGGAGAGATGATGGATAGATTAGATAGATAGACAGATAGATAGACAGATAGATGGATGGATGGATGGATGGATGGATGGATGGATGGATGGATAGATATAGAATATATACATACAATAGGTGGGTGGAAGGATAGCTAGCTAGATATAGATATGATATAGCTAGCTATGGATTGATGGATGGATGGATGGATGGATGGAGATAGGTAGGTAGGTAGGTAGATAGATAGATAGATAGATAGATAGATAGATAGATAGATAGATAGAATATATATATATGATAGGTGGTTGGAAGGATAGCTAGCTAGATATAGATATGATATAGCTAGCTATGAATGGATGGATGGATAGATGGAGATAGGTAGGTAGGTAGGTAGGTAGATATTTAGATAGATGATAGATAGATAGATAGATAGATAGATAGATAGATAGATAGATAGATGGCAAGTAGACCGACAGACAGAATTTTCTGTTATGGGTAAAACTAGCTCTTCAGTGTTGAATCATGGTAGCCCATGTAGTTGGAATCCAGAATGAGTCCTTCCAGAAACCAGTTCTGCTAAACACAGGATTAAAAAAAAAACAAAAACCCATAGCCAAAGCGTGCTCCACCTCTCTCACCTTCCAACTGCTTCTTCCTCCTAGAATACGGAAGTCCACCTACCTGCGTTTACAGCTCCTGGCCAAGGAGGAGTACAAACTGAGCCAGCTGATGGAACAATCTTTGCTGGAGGACAAAATCGCCCCCATCTTGTACAAACTACACCTCCAAGCGATGGATCGGAGGCTCCGGATAGTCCTGCAGGCCGTCAGGGACTGTATAGAAAAAGGAAGTTACAACAAGGTGGTGGAGAATGACTTTGCCTCCTCTAGGAGCACCGTCACGACCGAGAGGTAGTGACAACGGACAGACTTCCTTCAACGCCGCTGAAGAAAGACCAACACGTCGACCAAGCCACCATCCCAACAGTCTCGCGAAAGACTGTGTGCGTAGGCCACGTTTGAATTCAGTGAATTCAGAAATTGCTCTTTTAATTGTTCTCCAAGTAAGTAGCTAAGGCATAGACTCTGCAACAGATCAGACTGAGAATAACAGGTAGCTCGGCCGTCAACAGCTCTCGGGACCATCCACGTGTTCTCAGTGGGACGTGGTCACCCACCATGTTTTTTTTTTTCCATCCAGCCTCACTTGCCTTAGGTTCTAAATTATTCTCCATCGTCAACGAGGGCTTTGGAGTCCACCTGTGGGCGGAGCTTCTGGCAAGCCCCACCTTCCCCCTTCCCCTCCCGTGCTTTCATTTCTCCAAGCGGCCAGTGAATTCGTGGGCCCCCCACTTCTTTCTTCGTCCTGATCCTCCAGCGCAAGTGGCACCACCACCTCCTCCCCAACCGCTGAGAAGACCCGGTAGGAAATGCCGAAAAGCCATCCACATATCTGGTGGCTCGCTGGCGAAGACACTGAGCTTGTCGATCAGAAAGTTCGGCCGTTTGACAGTTCGAATCCCTAGTACAGGTCTCCGGCGTGAGCAGGGGGTTGGACTCGATGACCTCCGAAGTCCCTTCCAACTCTGTTACTGTTACTGGATCCACTTGTCCGTGTTGCAGTTTTCCAAACCAATCCTATCGACTTAGGAAAATGAAAAAAAATAAAAATACGGAAGATTGTGAAACGGGATCTTCTCACTGGCTGGAGTAGCCCTCTCGTTCTTTCCCTCCTTTTCCTTTGTACAGAAAGCCGGTCCTTATTTAATATTTTGTATTTATAGAGGAGACGGTCGTGTTGTGTTCTTCTACTTCTTCTTTTTTAATAAACGGAAAACGCTACCTTTGGACGAGGAAGGGAGCGACGGATTGCCTACCGCCCTCAAGGTGGTCTCCAAGAGGATTCCAAAGAAGAGAAGTCCCAGCTCTTGGTCGCTGCTTGACGCGCTCCTAGATCTTGAATCTGGGTTTGTGGGAGGTCGGGGTAGCGAAAGAGGTGAATGGATTAAGAATTTGGAGACCGTGCACACCGGAAGAGCTTTTTGGGAAAGGTTAGAGTATAAATATTCTCTCCCTAACGAAGGGAGAGAAGGAAAGGGTCAGGAACGGAGAAGGCCACGCTATGGACGCTTCCTTCAACGTGGTCCTGAAATCTTACTTCCTCGTGTCTACCTTCAAGGCGTTGTCCTCCTTTTCTCTTGCTCCTTCCTGGCTGCCAAAGTTCTCCCACTTGCTCCCCAGCATTTCCAAGACTGAGCCAGCTACGGGCCAAGCCAAATCCCCCACCTCAACCACCCACCCACCCCAGAAAGGACCACCCTCCACAAAAGTGCAGCAGCTTCGTCAAAAGAAGAGCGGGACAATCCGTGCATCGGCGAGAATACTTGAATGCGGTTTTACATAGTGATGTTTAAACAAAAAAAAAAAAGGAAGAAAGAAAGAAAGAAACCCAACCACCGCCACAGATAAATGGTACTATTTATCCATCCGAAAGTAAGCAGCTCTTTCTTCTCTTTGTGGACTGCTGAAGCTGAGCTGCTGCTTTTTCTCAAATCTGCTTTTGATAGTTTTCTTTTATGTAAATATATACATATCCAAGTTTAAAAAAAAAACAAAAAAAAAACACAGATTAAAGGGGGGAAAAAAAAACCAGAAGCTGCTTTCAGCGGCAGTAGAATTTTATGGCTTCCTTCTTTCCTTCCTTCCTTCCTTCCTTCCTTCCTTCCTTCCTTCCTTCCTTCCTTCCTTCCTTCCTTCCTCCCTCCCTCCCTCCCTCCCTCCCTCCCTTCTTCCCTCCCTTTCCTTCCTCCTTCCTTCCTCCCTTCCTCCCTTCTTTCTTTCCTTCTTTCCTCCCTCCCTCCCTCCTTCCTTCCTTCTTTCTTTCCTTCTTCCCTCCCTCCCTCTTGCCTCTTTCCATCCTGTCTCCTTCCTTTCTCCCTCTCACTCTCCATCCTCTCCTTCCTTCCTTCCTCCCTCCTTCCCTCCTGCCATCCTGTCTCTTTTCTCCCTCCCTCCCTCCCTCCTTTCCTTCCATCCTCTCTCCTCCCTTCTTTCCTTCTTTCTCCCTCCCTCTTTTCCTTCCCTCCTCACTCCTCCCTTCCTCTTCCTTTCTCCCTCCCTCCCTCCTTTCCTTCCATCCTCTCTCCTCCCTTCTTTCCTTCTTTCTCCCTCCCTCTTTTCCTTCCCTCCTCACTCCTCCCTTCCTCTTCCTTCCGCCCTCCCTCCCTCCCTCCTTTCCTTCCATCCTCTCTCCTCCCTTCTTTCCTTCTTTCTCCCTCCCTCTTTTCTTCCCTCCTCCCTCCTCCCTTCCTCTTCCTTCCTCCCTCCCTCCCTCCCTCCTTTCTTTCTAATTTCTTTCTTTCTTTCTTTCTTTCTTTCTTTCTCTCTCTCTCTCTCTCTCTCTCTCTCTCTTTCTTTCTTTCTTTCTTTCTTCCTTTTTCCTCCTTTCCGTGGATTTGTTTGCAGTGTGGTCCCAGTGCAATAAAGATATGGCAAATACGTGGTCTCCATGATTCCGTGATTCCACTCATCCCAACAGAAAAAAAACTTGCACCCGCTCAAGGCCCAGAGCTGTTTCTTTCTCTCTCTCTCTCTCTCTCTCTCTCTCCCTCTCCCTCTCTCTCTCTCTCCCCCCCTCTCTCTCTTTATTTTTCTGAAGCACAAGTTTGAGCTCATTCCACCTTGACCTGCCTGAACCTGCCTCAGAAGGAGAATCTTAAGTCACATTAATTCACCCAGATCCCTCCGGCTTGTACAGGCAGCCTTTTCCATGGTGCCTCTCAGACTACAGATGTTTTCCTCTTTCACTCTGCCTGATGAGGTCTGTCCCTTGTATTCTTTCCCTCGTTTTTCTCTCGTTTTTTTCCGGCTTCACGTGAGAATCGATCCCTCTTTAACACCCTCGTATTCTTTCCCAGGGCTGAAGCCTACAACTCACAGTAGTGGCCAAACTTGTGGAAACCTTGTTGGAAAAAGTGTATTTTTGAGGTTTGATGGCTAATAACACCACTTTTTTTTTTTTTTTTTTTTTGGAGTTTCAAGATAATCCTATTCCGCTGCTGGAATGGCTTGGGAATAGCCCAGACCTTCACCCAATGGAAAAATCTATGGAACCAACTAAAGAAACTTGTGAGTCAGAAGCGACTCAGCAATAAAACCCAGTTAATTGAAGCCATCCTTCAATCTTGGTTTCACATTAGAACAGCTGCAGAACTGAAAGACTTGGTTCACTCCATGGGAAGACGTTGGAAGGCCATCATTCATGTTAAAGGTTACCCAACGAAGGATTAACTGACATGGGGATCATTTTTGTATATCTTGTTTTTTTTTCTACCTGTTTCACTTTGCTTCTTTATACTGTAACTGCTGTTCTAATAGCACATCCTTCATAAAAGTTATTTCATTCTTGATTAAATTATCTTTCCATTGATATATAATTTTATGGTACTACTAACACAAAAAAAATCAAATAATCGAATAATCAAAATCAAATAATCAAATAATAATAATAAAAGTGGTGTTATTAGTTTTAGAAAATACAACTTTTCCCAAAAGGCTTCCACAATTTTGGCCACGACTGTAATTTCTCACCTTATTGTTTATCCATCTAGATTCACAGGTGTCGAACTCGCCACCTCACGTTACCTTCACGTGACATTTCGCAATGTTTTTCCCATTCGCGGAGCTGGGGTGGGCGTGGCCTGCATGAGACGGCCTGCGGGCCACCAGCTCAACACCCCTGATCTAGACAATTGCTTGCACCATCGTAAGTCAAGTATCCTTGACTTACGACGGTGCGACAATGGTTTACAATCACGATGGTGCTGGGAAAAAACTGAAGTTATGACCACCACACCATCCAGTGGTCATGTGATCTTGATTTGGGCAGTATTTCACATTTACAACCCATGGCAGCATCCTGGGGTCACGTGATCACAATTGTTCTGCCCCAGCTACCGACCCCAAAGAACGCAGCGCACACAAAGTCCGTTCAAACCTTAGTTTATTAAACAAACCAGTCTTTTACAACAACGGCTGTGAATTAACTGCATTAACAGCCGCCAAGAATTCAAAGAATAATAACTGAAAGCTTACTGTGGTTGGCAGAATGCCCAGAAGCAATTTGCAGGAAGCTGATAAGATAAGCAAGACAAGACATGAAGGTATGTGAACAGAGTTGTTCCCTGCAAATTGCTTCAGTCGGCGTTCCTCCTTAAATAGGCTAAGGGAGTGGCCAATTAGCCCCAAGCCTTACTCTCGAGGAAACCTCCTCCTGAGGAGCCACTCCTGCCTCCTCTTCACTTATGGGAGCTTCTGCAGGTTCTGAAGGCCCTGGCTGAATCCCCACCTCTGGCACCACATCTTCTCCAGCCTCCTCATTGTCCGACTTGAGCGCCAGCTGCACAGGCTGCTGGCGCAGCACCACACCAGCCTCCTCGCTGTCTGAATCAGCTACTAGCTGCACAAGCCGTGTACGGGCCACAACAACAATTGGTGATCTTCCCAGCCAGCTTTTGATGAGCAAAACAAATGGGGGGAGTCAGTTTTGCATAATAACCACATACGGGTAGTCCTCAACTTACAACCATTCGTTTAGTGACCGTTTGAAGTTACGTCACTGAAAAAAGTGACTTATGACCGTTTTTCACACGAGTGTTGTAGCATCCCTGTAGTCACATGATTGAAACTCAGACACTTGGCAGCGGACTCATGGTTATAGTCTATGATGGCAGTGGACTATGATGGTTATAGTCAACATTCTTGCTTGGCAGAAAGGTTGGGCCCAATGATAGCAATAGCATTTAGACTTATATACCGCTTCACAGTGCTTTTACAGCCCTCTCTAAGTGGTTTATAGAGTCAGCCTCTTACCCCCAACAATCTGGGTCCTCATTTTACCCACCTCGGAAGGATGGAAGGCTGAGTCAACCTTGAGCCCCATCGGGATTGAACTGCTGGCAGTTGGCAGAGTCAGCCTGCAATACTCCATTCTAACCACTGCGCCACCAGGAAGGAGAATGAGAAGGGGAATAAGAGGGAAGAATAGAATAGAATAGAATAGAATAGAATAGAATAGAATAGAATAGGTGGGGAAGGAAGGGAAGGAAGGAAGGAAGGAAAGGAAGGAAGGAAGGAAGGAAGGAAGGAAGGAAGGAAGGAAGGAAGGAAGGATAACAATAGCACTAAGACTTATATACCGCTTCACAGTGCTTTTACAGCCCTCTCTAAGTGGTTTACAGAGTCCGCAACTTACCCTCCCTCCCCCATCAATCTGGGTCCTCAGTTTACCCACCTCAGAAGGATGGAAGGCTGATGGTCATAAGTCATTTAAAAATGAAAAAAGAGAAGCGGAAACCCAGGAGGGTGTGGGTGCAGAAGGGGATCTGAATGGGCTGCCAGCTGCAGGAGCCCTTCTAATTACGAGTGGTGAGTGACAGTTTTGGTTTGATATGTGTGTGTGGGGGGGGGAACAGATGGGGAGGGGAAACCTGCTGAGCCAAACTGCACTTAGCATCTGAATCAATGCCCTCTTTCTCTTCCTGGGGATTCCCCACCCACCCACCCCCGCCTTGAAAGTTTGTAAATGGAGGTATTGAAGTCACAAGAGGCGAAAATGGTTGAAGGACGACCAGGGGAGGGGTCTGAAAAGCCAATAGGGCAGATTATTTTTCCCCCCCACTCCCCCCGCAGTTTTTTGGATGCAATTCCTCAAGAAGGGTGATAGGAAAGGGGAGATGGAGCCTTAAGACCAGCAATTTTGTTTTGTTTCATTTCGTTTTAAGGATGGGACTTTTCCTCCTTAAATATTTATTTTATTTATTGATTTTATTTTATTTTATTTGTATACCGCCCTTCTCCAACAGGACTCAGGGCGGTGAACAGCCACGGTAAAACACAACATATAAAATTTAAAAACAGTTTAAAAGACATTAAATAATTTTGGCCATCAATTTAAAACAACCCAGTTAAAACCAATTACAGATTAAAACAGCAAGGATGGGATCAAGCCAGCCCGGCTAGATGAAATAGATGTGTTTTCAGGGCCCGACGAAAAGTCCGGAGGTCTGGGATCACTCGTATCTCTGGGGGTAGATTGTTCCAGAGGATAGGTGCCACCACAGAGAAGGCTCTCCTCCTGGAAGTTGCCAGCCGGCACTGTCTGGCTGACGGCACCCTGAGGAGCCCCTCTCTGTGCGAGCGAACTGGCCGGTGGGAGGCTATTGGTGGCAGAAGGCGGTCTCGTAGATACCCCGGCCCTAAGCCATGGAGCGCTTTAAAGGTGGTCACCAACACCTTGAAGCGCACCCGGAAGACCACCGGAAGCCAGTGCAGCTAACGCAGGAGAGGTGTCACATGGGAGCGCCCCGTCGCTCCCATAATCCCCCGCGTGGCCGCATTCTGGACCAACTGGAGCCTCCAGGTGCACCCCAAGGGGAGCCCCACGTAGAGAGCATTGCAGTAGTCCAGGCGGGAAGTGACGAGTGCCTGAGTGACCGTGCGTAGGGAGTCCCGATCTAGAAAGGGACGCAACTGGCGTATCAGGCGGACCTGATAAAAAGCCCCCCTGGCCACGGCCGTCATACCGGGTGTTATTGACATAAATATGTAAGATATTCCAGACCTGCAAAGGATGGAATGACAGAAACAGCCCAATGTATGCAAAAAAAAAAGAAAGAAAAAGAAAAAAAGAAACCACGATCTAGTTGCTAATTGCAACACAAACCTCCAGGAATTGGTAAACTCATTAACACACACACACACACGTTACAACTTTTTGCAATAAATGTGATCTTGATTCCGAGGCGAGGCGATGCAGCTGAAAACGCTATTCAGCAATAGCTTTAAAAAAGAGGGGGGGGAATTCCACTTCTCTCCTTTCTCTGTTTCTGCCTGACCAGGTGTCTGTCCTGTCTTTTGCTAGAGACCACTCAACCAGAAGTCGGTTTCACGTCATTTTACCGCCGGTGTGCTGCGTGCCAAAAATGTGCACTGCACTCACAACCTTCAGGAAATTTGGACTTCGAGTCCCAGGATTCCCCAGCTAGCATGTCAGGCTACTTTTAAGATAGGTGAACTTCAACCTCTCACCCAGAGTACCTGGCTGGAGAATTCTGGGAATTGAAATTTATACCTGTTAAAAGTGGCCAAGCTTGAGAAATGCTGTACTAACCCTGTTTGGTTGCTGAATTAGGAAAAGTGTTAGTTGCGGACTGAAGAGGGGCCAAATATTGTCTGCAGAGGACAGCTATGTGTTGTGGTCCATCAGCAGCTCGCGGAGCTAGCAGCAGAGTCGGACAGTGAGGAGGCTGGGGAGGACCATGGGACAGTCCTGGAGTCTCGGGAAGGCCCGGATGAGGTCTCTGCATCGGAGGCAGAGATGGGGCCAGGGCCATCTGGGAGTGATGCACGGACTCCGGAGCCTCCAGAGGCTGACAGCAGAGAGGCAGAGGAACAGGAGGAGCCTGTTCCTAGTGCATGCATGCGAAGAGCTGCCAGAA